AAGAGATGGGTATTTTCACCAATGGAAACTCACTTTACTTGTCAAGAACCGATACTCTTAGATTTTATGTTAGAGTAGGTGAATTAAGCGAGAGTACTGAGACATTTGTCAAATAATTCAATATTTAAAAAATATATATTTAATCTTCTAACAGTCGTAAAACTTCAAAGATATGAGATATAGTAAGTCAAAAATGGATTATTAAATTATTATTACGTGTCCTCTGCTGGTCCGGCACAATGGATGACATGGCACCGTTAGTTAACTGGTTGTTTTTCTTTAGAGCCATGTAAACATCTATCGGTTATTTAATACCGAAATCTAAATATTTTGTACGCAATTTTAATTTATTTCATTTTTTTTTTTTAGATAATAATAGTTTAGTGATACAAGTCTTATTATTTAACCCTTAATTTGGGGAGATGTATTCAGGCCTCTCCAAGTGTACGTGAGCATAAGTGAATATAATAAACCCACCTGGAATTGGAACTCGGCTCTCAGAATAACATTCCCTAGCTATTATCCATTATATCACCATCAAATCCAAGCTTACAGCACCCGATATTCTCAAGCGGTCACCCATCTACGTTCAGAACAGGATCGACATTTCTTAACTTCGGTGATTGTATCGAAACCAGCGTCTCAACAGGATGTGACCGTAAGGCGCATAGAAATTTAATATAGGAGATAAAGATATTAAACAAACACTCTTGTTCAAATTAATTAACAACTATTCTATTTTCCCCCAGATTAAGTCATTTGCAGTGCTGTGCAGTAATATGAATCGATTTTCATTACGCCCAGACACTATTGTCTCGACTGTCGATTAGTTGTCCTACAGCCATTTTCTACTACGGACGTTACGTTAAAATTGTAACGCTGCACAAACACACTGTCAAGTCTTACCTGTGAGCAAATCGAAGCATTATAGACTGACCCGTTTTACTCTCCTGGTTTAAATCCAGTCGAGAATCTGTGGTCAATCTGCAATGAATGTCTTCGTGAAATGAACATACGAATTGCTAAAATGTTCGCTAGTTCACGTTTTATTGAAAAAATACGAAAAAAAAGTTAAATAATAACTAAATAAATAAATTCTAATAAGTTAAAGGTCACCACCCCACTGAGAGGTGATCCCATTGTTAAACCAAAATTAAATCCAGTTGAGAATCTGTGGACAATCTGCAATGAATAACTTCGTGAAATGGACATACGAATTGCTACAATGTTCGAAAAATACGAAAAAAAGTTAATAATAACTAAATAAATAAATTCTAAAAGGTCACCACGCGACTGAGTGGTGATCCCATTGTTAAACCAAAATTTTGTTTGCAAAAATTACTAATAATATATATATATATATATATATATATATATATATATATACATATATATATATATTAAAATTTACTTATAAAAATCTTTTATAGCTATAAAAAGTGGAGACATAGATTGATAATGAAATTATGCGATTATCAGAGAACGCTTGGGCCTTGAGTCCATCCGTATGTGGAAATTAGTAAATAGGATTGCCTATCATCTGGTTCACACCCTTTCATTGTCTTTTGGAAAGAAGTAGAATTGTATTCGTTGTTTCCGCTTTAGGATTAGGCTTCCGGTTGCTTCTAAATGTTTTAATTCTATGCTCCTAACATCTCCGCCTGAACTCATAAATTATATTCACTAATTATATGTTTCTTCTTAATGATTGGATAGGTTTGCTTATCGATTGATTCTAACTCCTCTCCGGTTTTTCGAACAGGAGTAGAGGTTTATGCCTTATTCCCTGTTTAGCATTGGGTTTCTGATCCTTTCTAAAGTCTGTTCATTCTCTTGTGTTTTCCCAAACAATCTTGACCTCGATCCATCATCTAAGCTTCAGAGTTGTTTAGCGGACATTTGAAGATCAAGGAACAGTTTAATAAAAAAATTATCCAAATGTTAGACATTTTTCTCTTCATTTTCATCCAAAATTAAATAAAATATACGGAGTTTAGAACGGCTTATGATCAAACATAATAAACATTCTTTCTCTGTTATATTTAACAATATATGTTTAAATAATTATCTGCTGCCCCAAAACAAAATACCCTATATATATATATATATATATATATATATATATATATATATATATATATATGTTTGTGCGTGTTTAATTAATATAGACATAGTGTGTCTATTTATTTTTATACGTGTCCTTTCTAATTATCTAATGATTTCCTTCATATTAGGATGAAACGCGTCAAGGAAGGCGCTGTAGTATTTGTTTTTAACCCATGTGCTTTCGACCTTTTCTAAGTTCATATTCAGGGGTAAATTAAAAAAGTGAACATATTGTTATTGCAATAAAATCTATATCCCCTTGTCATAGTGACTATGAAGAAAACGCGCCAACGCGCTTTGTCACAGTTATTTTCAGAATTTTAAAATTTATCTCTTGTAGTTGCACTTTTTTTTTTACAAAGCAAGCGTTTCAAAATAACGGAACTGACCGGAAACTGGAAGAAATGTAAAATGGCATATATATATATATATATATATATATATATATATATATATATATATATTCGTTCATTTTGATACAGTGGGCGTCGAGAATTTTGAAGTTTTTGTCTATGATTTTCATGGTGTAGTATATTGGTGTTGTCAACAACTATTTTCCAGTATTGTGAAGGTGGACAGGAATATGTTCTTAAATGTTGTGCAATAGAAGTTGCATCCGACAAATGATGCGTAAATCGTATTGATAATGTGGTCGTCAAGGCGACATATGTACTGGCATTTTTGTCACAGATACAACCACTCAAAGGATATTTAAACTGATATACAATGTTATTGTTTTTTTTTAAAAATTTATTTATATATATATATATATATATATATATATATATATATATATATATATATATATAAGGCATAGCTGATGTGAATTTGATTTTTTTAAATTAAAAATAGAATGAAATGTCGATTCATGCTGGGGGACACATTTCCTAAAAAAGGTTGATTTATTTTTTTTGTTTGACGACTTTATCAGCTTCTCATGTGTCATTTAATACCAACATTTTATTTTCTTGGGATCTGTGTCGTAATAAAAATGTTATTCTGCTTTCACAGTTGAATACATGGCAGATAATACTCAGCTTTTGTGCATATACATGTTTGTGTGGACGTAATTACTAGAGGTGTTGATATGTGTGTTTTATATTGTAGTTTGGTTGATGTTATATTTTGGAATACTCTTTGTTTTTTTTTTACGAAATTATAGGATATTATTTGGTGTAATGCCATGAAAGAGTTCTCTCATGCTATTGTTAAGTTGATTTTGTTTAGCGGCATATCAACTTTTATGGTTTTTTTTAATGCCAATTTCTAAATATTTTGAGCGTAATTGCATGCCTTCAACTACAAATAAAATTTATCGTTAGTCACTTTGCTATAAAATGTATTGTTGGACATTTTGCTATCATATATATATATATATATATATATGTTTATACTTTCATAAAGTTTTTCTTTTTGTTTTGGGCTCCATTATTTGCCCATATCTGGGGCCATAACAGGTGCTACTAACCCGTGTCAGAGTGAACCTGGTAACAACAGGTAATTCCACGCTCCTCACACGTCTAAAATCCCGATCAGAGACCTTGCTGCCGGATCTAGTTTATCGTCATGCCCAGGAATACTAAAAATAAGTGCTTCGATGTCTATTTATTTTACTGTTTAAAAAATAGGTACGACAATTCAAGAACGTATAGCCTCTAAATGTTACGTTCGTAGAGAAAAATTATCGGATTAATTTCTTTAAAATCACTTTGTGTTTCGTTTACGTAAAGAAATTTAACATACATAAACTTCAAATGATCGTGTCAAGAAATATGCTTTTCTGAAATAGTGTAATGGAAAGTTGCATTGTCGTAATGACTTCTCGTAGCTTAAGAGTAAAATATGCCACGTTTGAAAGTGATTTCTCGGAGAAAACGCGGATACAGGTACGTTTCCTTTGGAAAGGGATATTTTCTTTAATAAGAATTTCAATTACTAGACTGATAAAAAAAGAAAAAAACAAACAAGGATGTCTTCTCAAAAGCTTACATCCACATAGATTTAATGATTTTAGTAATAAGATGTATAGGAGAAAAAAGATATGTAAAATGTTATATACTAGAACCATCATCGGGTTCTATATAAGAACACTCAGAATTTGTAGCCCTCAATATTTTCATGAAAATGTGAAACACAGGGTGAGTCCAAATTATGCTAACACTAGTATGAGTGGGTGAGTCCAAATTATGTTAACACTAGTATGAGAGATGAGTCAAAATGATGGTAACACTAGTACAAGGGGATGAGTCCAAATTATGTTAACACTAGTACGAGTGGGTGAGTTCAAATTACGTTAACACCAGTACGATAGGATGAGTCCAAATTATATTAACACTAGTACGAGAGGATGAGTCCAAATCATGTTAACACTGCCGTAAACAAAAACAAACCAAACCAAGCCAAATTCTCTGCAACGAGGATGAGTCCAAATTATGCAGAACCGTTAGGAATTGATCACACAACAGTTTCGACAACTTCGTAAGCATTAGAAATGATTCAAAAGCATTGGGTGTCGTACGAGTTGAAGCCGAGTGACGTTGAACTGAGTTTTGTCACATTTGAACAGCTGCTTAAACGGTAGGAAAGAAAGGTTTTTGCATCATGTCGTGAATTTAGAATTTTGTAAATATAAAGTTATTCTAGTGTCTTCCATTAGATTGATTCCTTAGTTTTTTTTTTTACCGCTTATCAACCCTTTGCAAGACCGAAAAGAGTTTTATTGGATTGTAAGAAGTTTTCAGAATTAATAATTATTTATTGATGCAAGTCCTATTAATTAACCCAAAGTTAGGAGAAGAAATGAGAAATTCATATCTTTCCGAACCCAACCGGAATTGGAAAACAGCTCATCGATCTCTGAGCCATTATCCATGACATGACTCGCACATCCAAACTTACAGCAACTGGTGTTCCCAAGCGGTCACCCATCTCGCTATTAACTCAGCCCAACGCTGCTTAACTTCGGTGATCCTACGTGAATCGGCATTTGAACGCAATATGGCCGTATGGTTTCAGTGAGATTATGTTGTCACCCCGAGTGCAACATTTATTTTAGTAACCTCTCCGATGAGATGGGACAATTTCAAGTACATTACGGTCGCCATACATCAGCTTCCCTTAGAAGAAAGTTTCATTATATACACTGAATTCGTTGCAGAGCATTTGGCTTGATTTGGTTTGGTTTGTTTTACGGCATATCAACCTCAATAGATTATTTAATGGCCGACAAGTTTTTTTGTTGCTGATAATATTTTTTTTTCAAAAATGTATTGCTTGTACCAATTTTTCCCAAAAATTATTACTGTTTTTTTTTTAAACTATTTTTATATTTTCATAGTGTTTTGACCCCTTTTTGTGTGTGTGGGGGGGTAACTATTTGCCCATAGCTGGGACCCTGACAGCTGTTACCACTCCGTGTCAGGGTGGACCTGGGAGCACCAGCAATTAAGAGGTGGTTCCATGCTACTCAAAACTCCTCATCAAAGTTCTTGCATGTCGGATGTAGTCTATCGTCATACCCTGGACGGAGTGCATTTGATATTTTCCGGCCTGTATAACACATTACATGAAGATATTAGCCGGACAGTAATAAAAATATAGAGTCATCACTTTTATTTCTTCCATGTTGTTTTCTTTATCGTCATTAGTGCAATATATTGTCTTAATTAAATATAAAGTGCTTGTTCTTTAGATAGACTGAAAGCAGAATGATTTAACTTTGCTTAAGTCAAGAAGTTATGTTTTCATTTGCCTTTCGTTTTACCTTTTTATGTAAATAGTTGCCATTCTTGATTAAAAGCTCCAATTTGCAAAGCATTTTTCTGTCTTCAACAACGCAAATCGAAGAAATGAAATGGACGTATTTATTATAACAATTATTCATTCGTGTGTATGTTCTAGGGTAAGTTTTTTTTTGTGTGTGTAGATTCTTTTTTTTCTCTGGAAAAGAGCATTCGTAAGCAAATCGAGGTGGTTCTATTTTCCGCTCCCACCCACACATTAATTATTCTTAATGTGATCAGCTTTCGTCACGAAATTCATTATTCGTAATGGCGAAACATTTACGAGGCGTTGAAATAAAATTAATCGAATAATTGTATTTGTGATCGTCATTAACTCGAAAAATATATATTGTTGTTGCTGTTGCTGTTGTTGTCCTTTACTTCTTCTCATTATTATTATTATTATTATTATTATTATTATTATTATTTCTTCTTCTTCTTCTTCTTCTTCTTCTTCTTCTTCTTCTATTTGGAGTTGTTTCTTCATTTTCTACCTTTATCGTTAAGGACCTCGTTCTCTTTCTTTTTTTTCTTCTTTGCACTTTGTTTTATTCTTCACGAAATGTTCCTTTTCTTTATTGTTTTCATTTTACTTTCACTTGTTCTTTCGAAAAATGCTTCTTTTTTCTCTGTATACTTGGCCTTCTGCTGCCTTTTTTCTTCTTCTTCTTCGAACTTTTTCTTCTTCTTCTTCTTCTTCGAACTTTTTCTTCTTCTTCTAAGAACTTTTTCTTCTTCTTCTTCTTCTTCTTCTAAGAACTTTTTTTATTTTATAATTTTTTCTTCTTCAGGACTTTTCTTCTTCTTCTTAAGAACTTTTTTTCTTCTTCTTCTTCAAGACTTTTTCTTCTTCTTCTTCTTCTTCTTCGACTTTTTCTTCTTCTTCTAACTTTTTCTTTCAGACAGACTTTTCGGATACTTCTTCTTCTTCTTTGAACTTTTCTTCTTCTTCTTAAAAAACTTTTCGTACACGGAAAAACTTTTTCTTCTTCTTCTTCGAACTTTTTCTTCTTCAAACTATTTTTTTTCTTCTTGGAACTTTTCTTTCATATAGAGGAACTTTTTTTTACTTCTTCTTCTTCTTTTATTTCTTTCTTCTTCTTCTTCTTCGAACTTCTTCTTCTTCTTCGAACTTTTTCTTCCTTTTCTACTTTTATTTTCATTCATGACCTGTTTTTATTTTCTTGTTTTCTTCTTCTTTGCACTTTCTACTATTCTTTATTTTCTACATTTACTTTCATTTTTTACCTCCTCCTTCTTCATATTGTTATTATTATTATTACTATTATTATTATTATTATTATTATTATTATATTTTCTTCATTTTCTTCTTCTTCTCGTTATTATTATTATTATTATTATTATTATTATTCTCTTCATGTTGACGAAAAACAACAACATAATGCCTTTAAGAATTCTTTGATATGGTCGTTAATATTACTGGTCTTTTTAAGGTAATTTTCTGCAATTTAGTCTTGCATTGTTTTGTTTTACGTATTATTATTATTATTTTTCTTCCTCTTCTTTTTCTTTTTCATCATCATCATCATCATCATCATCATCTTCTTCTTCTTCTTCTTCTTCTTCTTCTTATTATTATTATTATTATTATTATTATTATTCACGCATTTCCATATCCACACCATATATTTAGGGGTTATCCTTGAGTGTGGAGTGACAACAAGATCCGTGAAATCTCCAGCACCCTACACAGCATCTTTGCAACTCTCTGCTATTATGTCTGTCATGTGTGGGTGAGAAATGTGGATAGGGCTTGAGTCATTAATTCTATTTATGTTGTTAAATATTCATTTCTTTTCACCTTCTAATATTTTTCTAAGCTTATTTTTCCTGTCTGTTTCTAATTTTTCAATTACAGTGAATTTTGCATGGCTTTTAAAATCCTGTTTTTCTACGCGGAAATGTTATTCTCCAGGTTATAATCTTTCGTGGGGAGTCGGCTTAAACCGATTCTGATAATTATTAATTCTGTAGTGAAATCGCCATTCAGATTTTCCCACATATTGTTTCTGGCATAGCGTGCATTCCAATATGTAAATTATGTTATGACTTCTACAGTTGTGGTAGATTTTGTAAGTAGTGTTAGTGACTGAGCTAGTGAACGAATTAATATGTCTAATGTGGTTACAACATAGGTTCCTTTTGTAATTATATGGTTGGGAAAATCCTGTTGTTTTTGTCTTTGGTCGATTACGGGTTACCTTATTATCTAAAATTTGGTTACTACCTACAATTTAATTTAGGTTCTGTTGAAACTTGACTAATGCATGGAATAATAATGCAACACAAAATGTACTTAGAACAAAATGTGTTGAAACAAGAAAGTGTACACAATATTTACATATAGTCTTTGTATATTCCTGGTAAGACCGTTCCTGGAGAATGTGTTGACTGAGTCGCAGTCGGGCAGAGTCTCTGGTTGAATCTCTTGATTCCTTCCTCTCTTCCCGGTACCAACCATATTTATATGGTCGGTACTCCACTATGCAAATTAGGTGGATCCTACCACAACAGGTTCTTAGGCCTACGATATGCTAGAAGGGCGGGTCCCTCAAACAAAACTTTTAGGTCTGCTTTGAGATGTAATATTTCCCAACGACTTTTGATTATCTGGGATAGTGGAGACAGAGTGAGGTTGAAAGTGGTTATTAGAGGGATGCGTGTGGATTTTTTTTTTAAAGTATTTCACCCCTAGCAAGGCGGAAAGCCACTAGCACGCAAGGGGTTAAAGAGGATTTGGAGCGAGAGTAGGTAAGAATAATAGAGAAAAGGATGAGGAGAAAGATAGTGGATAAATCAAGGCAACTCGAGATGTCGATTGACATAACATTTGAATAGTTGGAGATTAAAACTATCAGGGAAAAGGGGAGGGAGAGGTGCGAGATATGAAGCTATTGGTGTAGAAGAGACGGTTACATTTAACAGTTTCGAAAGTGAAATTTTTTAATTTTATGCATTAGGGCGTCTTCCCTAGGTGTGGAAATATATTATAATGAGTTTTGCATGGCTTTTAAATTCATATTTCTCTAGGTAGTATATATATATTTGAGCAACATCTATCCGACACACTGGGGTTAAAATAGGAAACTAAAATAATACATATGACACACACATATCCTCTCTCCCACCTCACTTCCTCACTTCGTTAACTTTGCGTATACTTGATGAGGTCCGTAAAAAACGTGTGAATTTCTTTTCATTTTTCATTTCAGCTTTTGGAATTAAAGTCTGATGATCCAGAACCCTGTTAAAGGGGTTATGGTGAAATAACTTATTACATGGAATCTTAACGTGGTCTGTCTTTTATTCAAACATATCTGCTTTGAATTTCACGTTGAGCTCTCTGGATATAATCCTCCTCAGGTCTACCCATACGGATTACCTAAATTTGCATAAACTAAATATATATATATATATATATATATATATATATGCACCGTGATACGCCTATATATAATAATTCACTCTCCTTCTTCTTCCCTCCCACCAACCTAACTCTTTCTTTCTTCTTCCTCCTTTTCCCCTCCCCTGTTCTACATTTTCTCTTCCTTTTTTTTCTTCTTTTCTCTTCTTGTCTAAAAATTACACTTGAACCGAAGTAAATTATTAAAAATGGTTTAAAAACAACCTTATCAATACTTTACATTTCCAAGATAGACCATTCCATAATCTTTCCACCACCTCTGTCACTTTATATCAATCTAAAAATATCCCTAAAACAACTTGTATTAAAAATAAAAGACACATAATCCTTTTGTAGCAAGAGTATTGACTTGATAAACCAGGTAAAATATATTTTCTGTGGAAATAAATTTTAGTCATGGAAACTTAAAGTTGTCTCTGTTTTAATTTAATTAATTAATATTTGCTCTCATATTAGATTGAGCTCTCTAGATCACATCTTCTTTGGGATTATCCACACGCATTACCAAACCCTTCATTACCTTATTGTGTAATATATATATATATATATATATATATATATATATATATATATATATATATAAATAATATTGTAATGGTACCTTAAAAGTGATCTGTTTTTTTTTTTTTTATATATATATATATATATATATATATATATATATATATATATATATATATATATATCGATATCAGGTTTTTTCTTTGGGCTTCAAACCTGCAAATTGCGATTTTTTTTCGACAGACTTTCATGTTTGTAGCTCTTTTTTTTTAAAACCAC